GCGCCCCTTTCTCCAGGACCTGCGCCGACTTACTCAGCCGTGGCACAGGCCTCCGCTCCTCGATCCCCTCGCCGCCAAAACGGTGGCGCACCACTCATCCGCTTGTCGGACATTGCCTTGTATGACGGTACAGGCATACGCGTGTCCCGGTGGCTGCAGTCTGCCACCCGCACACTCCAGCTCATGGGCATCACACCCGAGACGTGGGTGGGACACCTCTCCACGCGCCTGCGTGGTGGTCCTTTCGAGGTCTGGGAGGATTTCTATGCCTACTCCCTTCGTGAGGGTCGGACTCCGACCTTCATGGATTTCCAGGCGTTCCTCGAGGATCGCTTTGGCACCCAATACGACGTGACTCACGCCTTCGAGTGTGTCGTCACTACACGCTAGTCCGGCTCTGGTGCGCTGCCGGCCTGGATCGCCACATCCAGGTCTTTCAGGACACCCGCCTCGTTTGCGACGTGGCGTTCCTCCCCGAGGCTGCCCTTATCGATCGTTTCTTGGCCCGCCTTCCGCTCGAGTACCGCTCCGAGCTATGGCGGTACGAGTTCACATCGGCCCCACAGGCTTACGAGGCCGCTAGGGACCACCAGCGAATGCGAGCCCGTCTTCACCCCGCCTCCTCCTCCCAGCCCCAGCGCACGGGCTACGCCTCCTCCTCCTCTCACGGCACTTCCCAGCGCCGTTCCCCCTTCCGCGGTCGCCCCCGCCGTTCCACGCAGCAGGGCTGCCACTTCTCGCGCCGCTGCTGCGCGCTGGAGTATGGTGAGTAGGACGTTGTTGCCCCACTGTCACTTGAGGGCGACCACAACAACGACCTCGATCTCTGCGAGGCCCTCCACTATCACTTGGAGGACTCTACCCTCCCTGCAGTTGAGCGCCTTCAGCTTGCGCTCTCCGCCCTCTCTCGGGCACGCAGCCCCCCCGGTCACGCTGGCGCGTTGCCCCCCGAGGTCCCTCAGGAGGACCTCCCTCAGGGCTTCGTCCCTCCTCGCGGTGTCCTTTCCGCTGAGGAGCACGCGACTATTCTGGACCGACGTGGGTGTTTGCGTTGCCGCTTGGACGGTCATACATCCTCGCGGTGCCCTTACACTACCGCCCACGACCGCCACTACGCTGACCTTTCTTGTCAGCGCCGTGCTCAGTCCCTCCCCGGCGCCTCACGTCCCCGCGGCGCCTCCTAGCTACGGTGCAGTGTACACTTGCGCCCTCCTCAGTAGTGGGCTTCCCGACATCTCCGTCGCGGTTCGCCCCTCTCGCTAAAGGAGTTGAGGTATCGCTAGACTCGACTGAGTGTACTCAGCCCTCTGTCGCAGTACTGTCTGCGCCTCCGCAGACCACCGTCTCCCCTCCTTCCCCGCCGCGACTACCGACGCGTCGAGCCATTCGCTCAGCCCGTTGCAGCGAGTAGCTTGCTACTCGCGAGGACGTTGTGTCCCCTCTTCTGGACTTGAGCATGCTCCAGGCTCGTCAGGAGCGACTCACCCTCCATGTCGCTGCACTGTGTCGCCTTCTCGCCATCCTCTCTGACCCTGATCGCACCCTCCCGATCATCCCAGTACGACTCGGGACCTCCACGAGGGTGTACTCAGCGTTGTGGGATTCTGGTTCTCAGGGCGACTTCATTCACCCACGCGTGGTGAAGGAAGCCCGCTTACCCACGACAGGGTCTCCGACTCCCATCTCCSTTACCCTAGGGGATGACAAGACCCAGCGCTTCTTCGATCAGACGGTCACCGACCTCCCCTTCTTCCTCACTCTCGAGCAGACTGATCGTTCCCCGGCGTCTAGTCGCCACCGCTCCTCTGCACATTTCGATGTGATGGAGACGGGGTACGACTTCATTCTCGGCACTCCGTGGTCTCGTTGGTTTCGCAACACCGAGGCCGATTGGGCGACCAACACTCTCGTCCTCAAAACGAAGTATGGACAGACGTATCGCGTACCTTTCATAGGTACCACGGCGACACCACGCCCCGATCCTCCTCCCCCCGAGCCTTCAGTGCCCACACCATCTCCCTCTATCAYTGTCACCTCGCCTCGGCAGTTCGCTTACTTCATTCGACAGGACTACGTCACCTTCTTTATGGTGGACGTGACGGATCTCTTACACTATGATCCACCCTGTCCCGACGCCGAGCTCATCCCTCTGGAGCCAGAGCCTCCCTCTATCTCCATGGCTCCCATCTCTACTTCCGTCCCTCCGCHGTCCGTCGAGTCCACCCCGCCGTCGCGCTGACGCTGACGCTGAGGAACTCACACGATATACGGCTGACCTGGAGCCCGCAGTTCGTGACCTCATCCGAGAGTACCACAACATTTTCCCATCGTCGTTCTCGTACGCCGACATCCCACCGATGCGTGACATCGAGCATTCCATTCAGCTTGTGCCTGACTATCGTGTTCACCACCAGGCACCCTACAGACTCTCGATCCCCGAGGCCACCGAACTCAAGCGTCAGCTTGAGGAGCTCCTGAGACTGGGTTTCATTAAACCCAGCAACTCCCCGTGGGGTGCACCCGTCCTCTTTGCTCGCAAAGTGGATGGAACTCTCCGTCTCTGGATCGACTATCGCGGTCTCAACCGCTACACGGTTAAGAACAGCTACCCCATACCTCGTTCCGATGAGCTGTTCGACCGCCTCGCAGGCAACCGCTTCTTTACGAAGATTGATCTTCGTAGCGGTTACCATCAGATCCGCGTCGCTGCAGCCGACCAGCCGAAGACCGCGTTCCGATCGCGATTCGGCCTCACTAATGCTCCCGCTACCTTTCAGAGGGCGATGAACGACATCTTCAGGGACATCCTGGAGCAGTACGTTCTCGTCTACCTCAACGATATCCTGGTCTACAGTCGTACCCTTGAGGAGCACCTCAGATACCTCCACGACGTCCTTGACCGCTTGCGCAGACATGGCTTCTACGCCAAGCTGAGCAAGTGCCGCTTTGCCTAGCACAAAGTGGATTTCTGAGGACACTACGTGTCTGACCAGGGTCTCCACATGGACGACGCGAAGATCACTGCTATTGCGGAGTGGCCCGCCCCCACATCCGCCAAGCAGCTTCGCAGCTTCCTAGGCCTGACCAACTACTATAGTCACTTCATCCGGGGATACGCTAGGTATTCCTATGTCCTTACCTCCACCCTCCTCCGGAAGAACCCACCCTGGGCTTGGACACCCCTCCACGAGGACGTCTTCCGCGCCCTCAAGAAAGCGGTGACATGCGCACTGGTTCTTCACCTACCCGATTTTGATCGCCCTTTTATCCTTACCACCGATGCGTCAGACTTTGCTGTAGGAGCAGTGCTTTCTCAGGTCTTCCCCTCCTCTCCTGATTCCTCCCATCCTCGTATCCCTCGCTTCCCACCACCTACCCCTACCACTCCTTCCCGACTGACACCTACTCGTCCAGCTACTTACGAACCCTCTATTGACTATTCTCCTACCATCGCCGAGGACGGCACTGTCGAGTCTCGCTCAGGTGATTGTCTGATAGCCTTCTACTCCCGTCAGCTCCTGCCCGCCGAGATAAACTACACTGCTGATGAACGTGAGGTTCTCGCAGTAGTTTATGTCGCTCGGCACTGGCGTCACTACCTGCACGGGGCACAATTCATGGTGCGCACGGACAACTCTGTTGTCCAGGCTTTTCTGACAAAGTCGAAGCTCACTCCCCGACAGCCTCGCTGGTGGCACGACCTATCCGAGTTTAGTTTCACCACTGAGCACATCAAGGGTGAGACTAATCGGGTCGCATATGCCTTATCCCGGCGCCCTGACCACGACCAGGAGCACATCCAGCTCTCTTCCATCTCGGTCACCGCTGTCCACCACTCGGTGATCGATGAGTTTCGCACTCAGTACTGCCACTGCCCCTACTATCGCGACATCCACGCGACCCTTCGGAGCGGCAAGATCGTCCCGAACTACTCTCTCGGGGACAACGGTCTTGTGTACTGGCACGGTTCACAGGGCACCAGAGAGCCCCGTATTTGCGTTCCCTCCACTGGACAGCTACGTGTCCGAGCAGTAACAGAGTTCAATGACCAGGCAGCCGCCAGTCGTATGGGCTTCCACAAGACGTTGGCTCGTGTGAGCCGCCTGTAGGTCTGGTCGAAGCGCAAGGACTTTGTGAAGGACTACGTCGCAGAGTGTCCCACCTGTCAGGAGGTGAATAGTGCGAACCACCTACCTTATGGTTTGCTCCAGCCTCTTCCTATCCCTAAGGGTCGTTGGCAGTCCATCTCGATGGACTTTATCGGTCCCCTTTGTCCTCCGACCCCTCGCGGTCATGATGCTATTCTGGTCGTCGTCGACCGCTTCACGAAGCGTGCATACTTTGTTCCGTGCCGCTATGCCATCAGTGCACGTGAGGTCGCCGACATCGTGTTTGACTGAGTCGTGCGTGACCACGGCTTACCTCTGAGCATCATATCTGATCGTGACCCGTGCTTTACCAGCCGATTTTGGCGACGGCTCCACGAGGTGTTCGGCACTCAACTCCGCTTCTCCTCGTCTTACCATTCTCAGATTGATGGTCAGACCGAGATCACGAACAGGACTCTCGAAGATATTCTCCGAAAGATTGTTCGTGACGACCAGCAGTGGGATCTCCATCTTGCCCACG